TCTTGATCAGGTGCTGGCCCACGTTGACCGTGAACTTGTATTCACCTACGGAAGCATCGTTTGTGGAATATGAGTGCATTAGGAGCTGCTGATTGGGACGCAAGACTTTACCGGCAGCGGCTGTCGCCTGAGCATGTGCCGCTGCTGCTGCTGCGGCAGCAACGGCGGCAACCTGCTGCTGCTGCTGGTGTTGCTGGTGGTGCGTTTGATGGTGCACCTGCTGCGAGATCTGCTGGGCAGCAGCGGTGGCGGTCATGAAGTTCTGGGCGGAGTTGAAGCTCAGCCGGTTGGCCAAGCTGCTTCCGCTTGGAGTGCGCGGCTGCACGATGGCGTCGTCCGAATTGGACGAGTTCAGCGAGGAGCACGATCCTCCGGCAGCGGGAGCGGGTTCCAGGCGAACCGGAGATGCGTTCCGGCGAATGGTGTCCTCCATCAGTTGTTTGGCGTAGCTGTCGTAGAAAGAAAACATAATTAAGTAAAAGAGTTTGGGGAAAATGGTTAATTCTAGGGAAATGGCAATTGGTTTTTGCAGTAAAATTTTAATGTTTGTTTTAATTTTGAAAAAAGCTTATGCGTTAAAGCATACAGCTTATTAATTGTAAATATATTAAAAAATGGTAATTTTTTTCGGTATTTACATAATATTTTAATTTTACAGTGATAACAAAAACCAGAAAGAATATCATTATTATACATTTACATTACTCACTTAATTTTTTCCTCGGCAGGACCAGTAATCTGTACCAAACGCTCCTTTGCGCCCGGGTTGACTAATGAAAAAATTGCATTAATAAATTGTATAAAAAAATATTAAAACTATTCAGTATGATAGGTAATGTTAATAAAAATTAAAACAATAAAATGAATACATATATTTATAAAATGATAATAAAATATATACAGTTGGAGGTAAATAGCATCATGTAATAAGCGAAAACTCATGGGACATGCGATCTTTTTTCTTTTTAGTAAATTTTGGTAAAAGCCACCAGCCAATAATTGAGTGCAATAAGCGTGCCAAATGAAATGCGGGTGCAGTGAGGACAATTAAAACCAGCTTTCTGGCGTTTACCTCTTTGAAACGATATTATGGTTTCACTTAGTTCCTCGATCATGTGCACGCGTCGCCCCTTGATGCCCATGACTTTGTGGCCACGGGATTTTTGGGAATACATTTTTAGATTCATTTTCAAAGATCAGTGTGTTTCAGCTTCCTTTTAAGCCGGAGAAACTCACCTTTGCCCGAGTCGGCGTTGCGAATCACGACCTCATCCTTGCAGTACGTCTTGCCGGGAATCTTGGTCGGTTTGGGGAACTTGCCCGAGTTGCGGATGACCTCACCGGGGGGCAGCAGCATGTGCTGCTGGTTGGGTGAGCCCACGGCCGCAATGGCCGCTGCTTGGGCGGCAGCAGCTGCAGAGGCCGCATTGAAGACGGCGGCAGCGGCGGCGGCGGCTCCAACATTGACACCGCCAACACCGCCGCTGACGCCGAATGTGGGGGAGGTGCTGAAGGCGCCTGGCTGAACGCCAGCATCGTACTGATATTCCGTGGGCAGCTGAAAGGAAAGATAATAGATTAGAATACGGAACTTATCCAATTTTAAAACAAAACAAAGTTAGTTATAGAAACTGAAGATTATGTGTTAATTACTTGACAAATGTTTGTTAATTTTTAAAAACTAGGCAATTAACACGATTTAAAGCAGGGTTCGGAAAATAACACACACTGTAAAAAACATTTGTTATTAACATGTTAAATATCAAAGTGTTAATTTAAAAAAAAGTTATTGACTTGTTTGTAAAAAATTTTATCCTACATATGTTAGAAACATAAATAACACACACATGTCATTTGTGCTATTTACACGACGTGTTAATAACACGACATGTTTTTTTACACAGCGTGTTTTTAACACAATGAGTTTTTGACATTAACAAATTTAAAAAATTCACTGTTTTTCAGAGTATAGGAATTCATATATGCTTTGAAATGGTTAAAACTAACATATAAGATATCATGCCCCATATTGGTTTTTTAATTTTCCCTTCGACTTGTTAATGTCAGTAAAATGTAATTTTCATTTGTGTTAAAAATACAGTGTGTAAAAAACACGTCGTGTTAAAAACACATTAGGTAAAAAACACAAGTGAGCTGTGTGTGTTAACAATTATTTTTCACATTTTAACACTTTGTATTGGACACACATGTCAACAATTTTGCTCACACTGTAAAATTCAATTTTTCATGTTTTTATCATGTGTGTCAATTTCAGAACCCTGATTTAAAGTAGCTCTCAGACTGAAATTATTTCTAGATCTCACCTCCACGTTGGAGATCTGCTGCTTGGACTTGTAGTACGCGATGGTGTCGTCATTGTCCCAGCTCTTGGCGCGCAGCTCGATGAGCTCGAGCAGCTTGAGGCGCGTCGTTATGTTCAGCCGTTCGTCCTGCGAAGCGTTGCGGAAAACGACAAAGGCCCGATCCAGTGTGTCCTTGGACACCGCCTCCAGCTGCGGTCCGTGGACCCGCAGGTTGTGCAGCAGCAGCGTGATCGAGTCCGGCGTGGTGTTGCACGACTGCAGGCCGACGGCGACGCTGTCTATCAGCTGGATGAGCTCCTCGATCACCAGGTAGCTGTTCTTCAACGACGATCGCGACTGTGTCTTCAGTGGGCGTGGCGCCTCAATGTTTTTCACGGCGCGTCCCATGTGTGTGTGGGCCATTTTCGGGATTCGTTCGATTCGATAGTGTCTCGGTAAAGTCTAAAGGTTGTCCTCTGCCTGTCGTCGTCCGGTTTCGCTGAGCTCAGCTTGTAAGGTCTGCTTATTTGTTCGTTCGTTTGAATGTTGTTGAAGAATTGGTGAAAAAGAAATCGTAGAAGCTTTTTTCCGCACCTCCCCCTGGAATATAGAAGCAGATTAATTTAGTGGGTTTTGTGGGTTAATGATTAAATCTTAAAATATGGCTTTAAAAGTTGGGACCCACTTATAAAATAAGTATATTGCTTATTTTATACCTTTTTATATACAAAATTTATACAATTTATAGAGAGAAATTCAAGGCCTTGAAAGTTAGGACCCACTTAAATAATACTTTATTTGCTTATTTAATAGCTTTTTGTATAACAAATTTATACAATTATATAAAGAAGTTATAAAATTCGTACTTAAAGTTGAGTTGATTGTAGTTATAAATAAATATTCTGTGATTGTGTGTCAAATCCAAAACTTTTTTTTATTCAAATCCACAATGTATATATAAAATTAAAAAAATAAGTTAAAAAAAATTTTAAAGGCCTACTTGCCTTCAAAATCAAGAAAAGATTTTTTTTTTTAATTATAGAAAAAAAAACTAGAAAAACCGCAGTTTTCCATTGAAATCGATGAAAATAAACTATAAAAACTTTTGAAGTTGGGGATACAAAGTTTATAGGGGCTAATCCTTAGTATTTTAACCGAATTTAAACCAGAAATCGGGATAGTTGGATAATTTCGAATAGGTTAGTTCTTTGGGATATGGAAATTGGCCTCGTTTCTGGCCGAATCTCCAGTATTGCGACGCACAGCTCTCGTATATCTTTGGCCTTAACGATGTTTCACGTTTGATAAGCGGCTTTAGCTGATAACACCGGGATTTATCTATAGTTTAGTGGCCAATTAACCCATTAGCGCCTCTCGCGCATTTTTTTTCGCAGAGTCAATCGGTGCGAAGTTCCAAAAGCGAAATGTGTAAATAATTAATGAAAATTGTTTGCATAAATGGGAACAACAAACGGACGGCCATTTGTGTTGTTTTTAGCTCGACTTTCGCTCCATGCGAGCACATATTTTTTTTAAATATCACTTACAGCCGCTGCAGCAGCAACAACAACTAAAACAGCTAACAGAAATATTACAAAAAACGGAAATTATCCGTGGGAGGGAGGGAGAGAGGGCGCGACGAGCGAGAGAGAGAGGCGATCGCTCTATTGAATCATATGTCGAGAATAGCAACAACAAGAATGGCCTCTGCCGACGTCGACGCTGGCCGCGCAGCTGGCGCCTGTTGGGCGTAGAACACGAATTCAAGTTAAATTCAGCGACGGCGTTTAAATACCAATCAATCAAAGCCCTTTTCGCGCACAACACTCGCCGAAATTGAGTAATATTTTGATGGCACGGCGAGCATTTCGTTAAAATGGGCAAACTGCGCGTTTTGCTACCGACCGACTTTGCACTCCCTTTCGATTTCTTACACTTTTCGCGTTGAGCGCTTTTCGCAGATATAGTTAGATGGGCTATCTGCTCGCCCCGCTTGTTTACACGGTTTATTTCCCACCGAAATCTTCATTAAATTGCAAAAAGCTTACCAAAAACCAAAATCTCTGCCTCGACTGCGACTAAAATAATGATGCTGCCACCGTGCCCCAAAAAGCCATTCAAGGCGGGGCGTTGCCACCTGGTTACCTGACTACTGCTATCGATTAAGAAATAGCCTGTTCACACAGGCGCATCCACATCAACTACATTTTATTTCGAACCCACAAGTTTTTAAGAATTCAGCACACAACAGTTTTGGTAATACCCAGGAATTTTTTTGGACCAAGTCTTCTTTTTCTGTATCGGTTGGCTTACTTAACTGCTTTCGAAGGAACTATGCAGAGGCAGAGGATAGGCAGAACAATTCCCTATGCTCACTTAAAGGACGCTGCCGACCGCTGTTCTATAACGATTACAAAGAGTACATAACTATAGGGTAACAAATCAGTCCATTTATATATTTACCATTTAAATATAAAACCAATATTTAGTTATTTTTTGTAATATATGACATTTTCAATTTACAAATATGTATTAAATCTAAAAGTAAAATCGTATAATTTAATTTGTAAAACAATAACGTTTTTCCACTCAAATATATCTGAGGGGAAACTCCCCGAAATAACTAAAAAAATATATCGATACCATTTTGCTGTCATCTCTGTGTAGACTGTGTAGAATTCGTGGAAAATTTGGAATATTAATAATATTCCCCTGAATTTAAGGCCCCAGCTCGAAAATGTCCGAAAACGAGGCCGTGGAGGCGGCACCAGCGGATTCAGCGGCGTCCAGCGAGGAATCTGGAAAGGATGAGCCCTCGACGAAGCCGCTGCAGATGTCGTTTGCGGATTGGAAAAAGTGCAAGGAGGCTTTGAAACCGGAATCGAAAGGCGAACCACCGCAGCGCAGCAACAACAATTACGGTCCAAATAACAATTATAATAATAATAATAACAACGGAAACAACAATGGACGCAGACAATGGGGACCAAACAACAATGGGAATTTTCAAGGAGGACCGAATAATTACCAGGAGAGGAACAACTTTCCGCCACTCAGCAGACCTCCGCCACTTCCCATGCAACTGATGAACATGGGCGGTTTTGGAGGCAACTTTGGACCGGGTCCGGGACCCTGTGGACCTCCAATGGGCCCCGGAGGACCCTGCGGACCCATGGGCAATATGGGTCACGGTGGTCCCATGGGAAATATGGGCTTTGGCGGACCAGGCGGTGGCCCCAATCCGCGACGCAATCACAACCAGCGACCGCTGCAGCCGCCTCCGTTTTGGGAGGACATGATGTCGCCGCAACACCGACCGCCGCCCATCCAACCGCCCATGCCCAAGTGTCCCAGCCTGTGGAATCTGGTGCCCAAGGAGCGGGGACAGCGCAACGATCGCGGCAACAAACAGAACCACAACCAAAACCAGAACAACAAGAAGTTCCGGGGAAATAATCGCGGCAACAGTAACAAGGATTCCAAGCTTATGCCGCCGCCACCGCCGCCGTCGTCAAGCGATAACAACGGCTCCCCGTCGAATGGCGAGGCTCAGCCCAAGTCCAAGAAGCCCAAGCGCGCCGGCACCTTTATGCAGATCAACGGCCAGTGGATCCAGAAGCCGGAGGCACCGCTGCCCCTGGACGATGCGCCGCCGGGGACGAAGGAGGAGCGCCAGCGGCAGTGGAAGGAGTACCGCATGGCCATGAAGCCGTTCAAGAATCGCGAGTTTCACAACTGGAAGCGAACGGTGCAGCGTTTGGGCAAGCTGCCGCGCGATCAGCTGGACGAGCAGCAACTGGAGCGTCTGGTGAAGGCGGAGGAGTATATTGGCGCCCACAAGGCGATGCTGACGGTGAAGCATGCCGAGCGCTGGGTGCAGCAGGACAACAAGAACGACAAGGGGCAGGTCTTCGTGCGCAAGTCCTCGAACATTGGCTCATGGGATACGCCAAAGGAGAAGCAGACGGACAAGTTCTTTGGCCCTGGCCGCGCCATTAAGGGCGGTTCCGATCTCTCGGTCATGGGAAATCTGGCGGCGCCACCTCCGCCGCCGCCTGACAATTCTTCGCAGAGGCAAAACAACTACTGGCCATCTACCCCCATCAGCAGTTCGGGCTCCAACTCGAATCCTTCGTACTACAGCCACTACAGCAACAACTTCGTGAAGGGCACCACCCTGCTGCCGCCCTAGAATCGCCCAGGGAAACCAACCCGAGGCGCGGGTTTTAATCATTATCCAGTGGCATGGCACCTGAAACAGCAGCAGTTTCTTCTACATCCCGGTTCGACGGACATCGGTATTTGTATTCAGATAAATGTAACAAAATCAACTTGACACTAATGGCTACTTTCTGGGTTTCCGGCTGCGACGCGGCTGGGTTTCGTCCAGGGGGGGCAGGCCAAGGATTTGGCGTCGCTCCCGCTTGCCGCGCAGAATGGCCTCCTTGAAGAGGTTGCAGTACAGCTCCACCGCCGCCGGCGAATCATCGTTTCCCGGCACCGGGTAGGTGATCAAATTGGGATTGCAATTGCTGTCCACAATGCCAATTGTAGGAATGGCCATTTTGGCGGCATCTCGGACAGCCGTGTGCTGGGCCATCACATTGTTCTGGGTGTTCAGGAAGATGCAGAGATCGGGCAGCCGGGTGACGGCATCGAACTGAACATTGGCATTCGTGAAGATGCCGCCGCGCCAGAAGCGAGTGTGCGAGAATTCGCCGGCCTCCTGGGCCTTCTGCTCCACGAGATGCGAGTTCATGGCGTTGCGATTGAAGAACAGAATAATGCCGTCGCGGAAGGCAATGTGGGCCGCGAAATTGAGGGCATCGCGCAGATGCGAAGCGGTTTTGTCCAGATCGAAGATCAGGTGGCCCAGGCGACTGCCGAAGAGATACGGACGCATCCGGTCGTCCAGGGAGCCCTCCTTGTGGCCATAGTGCACGCGGGCATTGAAGAGGTCGCGCACGGTGAACAGGTTGTGCACCTGGAAGTAGTCCGGGTGCTTCAGTAGCCGCTGCTCCACCAAAGCGATGTCCTCCGGCTCCGTTTCCGCAGTCTGCTCCGCTTGGGTGCTCTGCAGACGCCGCGGCAGGCCGCACATCTGGCCAAAACGGGGCACTTCAAAGGGGATTAACTCATTAAACCGTTTCCTTTACGCTTTTTATTGATTACTTACGGTTGGTAAGCGATTTTCTCAACATTTTGGAGCGGCTCGTGTTTTCATAACCTCTGTGCTTCTTCTTTCTATGGTTTTGGGAAACAGCTGATGGCCAGTGTTGGCTAGCAGTGTTTGTAAATCTCGGGCGGTTTTAAAATCGCTGAAAGATGAGTTTGGAAATTGTAAAAAAAATTGTATTTATTTTCAAAAAACTTAAATTATTAAAACCAGGAAAATATCTATTTTTAAAATCTTCTGTTACTTCTCGGGAGGTTTTTAAAACGCCAAACGATTTAAAATTGTAAGAAAAAATTTTAGATTTTGAAAAAACCTATTTTATTAAATGTAGGAAAATATCTAGTTTAAAATCATATATTTAATCTCGGCCGGTTTGTTAAACGCTGAAATATTGGTATAAATTGTAGATTTTTTAAAAACAAATATTCTTTAATGCAGGCAAATATCTAGTTTTAAAATCTTCTATTTCTTTTCGGGCGGTTTAAAAATTGATGAAAGATGAGTTTGGAAATTGTAAGAAAAAATTGTAGATTAAAAAAACCTATTTTATTAAATGTTGGAAAATATCTAGTTTTAAAATCGTTTACTTAAAAAAAACGCTTAATAAAATAAAGTTTTCCGGAACACCCCCTTTATTTCATCATCTGTTCATCTTCCAGTGCTGTAAAACCCCCGGCAGCCAGCTGGAACCTTCGTTGTAAACTTGTACTTTTTGCGAAATATTGGCAAATTGCAATGTTCAAGCGACTAAAATAGCCGAAAATCGAAATGGAAGTAGAGCAGACGTCGATAAGATCGGACACGAACTCCACCTGCGAGTACCTGGACGCAGAGGGCGAACCGGAGTCGCCGAGTCTCTATCAGGAGGCGGATCCCGACCAGGAGGCGGAGCAGCAGAACCATAGTATTATCTCGGAGCTGAGGGATGGCCTGGCCAATGCACGGGACACCAGTGCGCTCAGTCCGGAGCCTATGCAGGAGACCAAAGGCCTGGCTGCCTCCGTGGAGTCCCTCGCACTGAGCACCTCGACCAGCGCCAAAACAGAGGATTCCATAGGAGGATTAGAGGAGGAGTACGACTACCAGCATGATAGCCTGTGGCAGGGCCAAAAGAAGCACATCTTCATACTCAGCGAGGCGGGAAAACCGATATTTTCGCTGCACGGCAACGAGGATAAGCTGGCCACGCTTTTCGGCGTCATCCAGGCGCTGGTGAGCTTCGTCCAGATGGGCCAGGATGCCATTACTTCCATACATGCGGCCGGCATCAAGTTCGCCTTCATGCAGCGCAGCGCGCTCATCCTGGTGGCGGCCACGAGGAGCAATATGAGTGTCCAGCAGCTGCAACTCCAGCTGGGGTGAGTCATTCGCCTAGCTACTGATAAGTATTCCTATTAATGGGGTTATTATATGCATCCACAGAGATGTGTACAATCAAATACTCTCCATATTGACGTACTCTCACATGACCAAGATCTTCGAGCGACGCAAAAACTTCGATCTGAGGAGACTGCTCTCGGGCAGCGAGCGTTTGTTCTACAACCTGCTGGCAAATGATAGCAGTAGTGCGAAGGGTAAGGATGAAGTAAAGATATATCCCCAAATAAATAACCCCTTCCCTTTTGCAGTGTCCAACAACATCTTCACCTTTCTGACCAACTCAATACGCGTCTTCCCCTTGTCCACTGCGATACGCTCGCAAATTACCGGCGCCATTCAGAGCAATTGCTCGAAGATCAAGAATCTGGTGTTTGCAGTGCTGATAGCCAATAACAAGTTGATAGCTTTGGTGCGCATGAAGAAGTACTCCATTCATCCCGCCGATCTGCGACTAATCTTCAACCTGGTCGAGTGTTCCGAGTCGTTTAAAAGCTCAGAGAACTGGTCGCCCATCTGCCTGCCCAAGTTCGATATGAATGGGTATCTGCATGCGCATGTTTCCTACCTGGCGGATGATTGTCAGGCCTGTTTGCTTCTGCTGTCAGTGGATCGAGATGCCTTTTTCACGCTGGCCGAGGCCAAGGCGAAGATTACGGAAAAGCTGCGTAAAGCCAACTGCTTAAAGGCCATCAACGAGGAGCTGCAGCAGCCGTTCAATGCGAAGCTGTACCAGCAGGTTGTGGAAATCCCCGAGCTGCGACACTTTTTGTACAAGCCGAAGAGCACGGCTCAATTGCTGTGTCCCATGCTCAGGCATCCGTACAAGTCTGTCGGAGAACTGGAGCGTTTGGAGGCCATCTACTGCGACCTGCTGCACCGCATCCACAGCAACTCGCGGCCGCTGAAGCTCATCTACGAGGTGAAGGAGCGCGAGGTGGTGCTGGCCTGGGCCACCGGCACCTACGAACTGTACGCCGTTTTCGAACCGGTCGTGGACAAGGCCACGGTGATCAAGTACGTGGACAAGCTGATCAAGTGGATCGAGAAGGAGTACGACGTGTACTTCATACGCAACCATGCCACATTCTAAGCTGTAGCGAGCATTTCTAGGGAATTGTGAGATATATATGACTATTTTTATATTGCCCTGCTGCCAACCAATCGAGGACAAAGCTGTTGTGTTGCAGTTGTGACGGCGTCTATTTAACTGATCCTTGTATACCATAATTACGCATGTACATTTGTAATTTAAAGCTCTAAGTAAATTCTAAAGCTGGAGAGGTCGCTTTTTTTATCTTGGTTAAATATAATTGGGTCTGCAAAAAATTAAAACATACCTTAGAAAGACATTAATAATTATTTTTTCATTTTAGTAAAATAATGAATAATAAAAGAATATTTTCATAAGTGTAGAACATTGTAAATTTATTAAAAAGTATTATATTAAAGGATCTTCCTGTTAGAAACTTCAAAAATTGTAAGAATCCTGACATGCGGTTCGTGTCACCGCTAGGCTAACATTACCTTTAAGCACGGACTCAAACCACAAATGACTTAACAGAGAAAGAACTTAATTTTAGCCAAACAGCACTTTTGAGAGCCAAAGGACTCGCGTAGAGAGAGCTTTTTTAGGAATCAACAACTTAACGCGCGCACTCGCATCGGCGAGGATTACGATGTGAAGGAGCTGGCGGAATTCTCGGAGAATACAATTGAGTACAGGACACAAACGCGAACGCACACGCTTCGATTGTGGGCGCCGCTGCCACGGGAAATCCAAGTTGATCCAGTGCCTAACCGAAAAATTAAAAAAAATACATAATTGCTTTAACCGAAGAGTATGTGAAAAATGTTAAAAAACGCGTGGTGGTGAATACGAGAAAAGCCATAGAAAAAAAGAAAATTACTGGCGTAACGGGCAGTCCTTTTTTTCGGTTGTATTTAACAGCTTTTCAACATGCGCCACGCATTTTTTGGGTGTTAAATGCTCGTGTATCTGTCGGTTTTTGCGCGCTTAGCTCTGCGGCGGCAATTATACACACACACATACACAAACAGGACGAAATCCAGCCAGGATATGTCCATGTGTATGTGTGAGACGCCGCTCCGTTAGTTTTGCGCCCGTGTTGGTCGTCTACCCGCTTTTAGTGTGCAAATCGTTTAATTTATGAGCAAAATATATATTTTTATACGCATTTCTCGTGCATTCCCGTTTCTTTTTCGTTTTCGATTCCTCGTTAATTTGCCGTTCGCCTTTCGAGCCGAATTCGTAGTCCTGAATTATCAACAGCGGCAGGAGCAGCAACAACAAGGAGTTCCAAAGTTTCACCTTTCCCGCAAGCACACACACACACACGCACACATTCGAGGCCACAGGATGTCTTTTTGTGTATCCTAGAGTTATTTTGAAAGCAGCGCGTGTAGCAGAAAGAAGGAATAAAAAAAGGAGCAGGAGCAGCAGTAGGTGCATGCGAGAAAAGCGAAGGATTCTATTTAACTCGGAAAAAGTTTCGGCGCCTTGGATTTTTTTATGACTCTTCCTTCGGCCTCCACTCCGTGGCTTAAAGCAACTTTTTTCGAGTGCAGCGAAATTGGCCAAATTCTATAATTGGCAACATAAAAAGCGGGTTTTTTTAAAGCAAGTTTGAGGAAGATAGAAAAAGTTTTTATTACCAAACTAGCCAGGAAGAATTTAAAATATTTAATTTTTAGGCATTTCATGAAACTTTGTGAGATTTCACCACAATAGAAAATATTTTATGGGCTAAATAAAAGAGAGAAAAAAATAGTTAGCGCTGAAAAACCGGGAATTTCATCATATTATTGAATTTCATCATTATTACAAATTCTTGAACACACAAAGCCAATCTCGACCAACTCTTTTATTTTTCTTCTTTCGATTCTAAATGTTGTTCCTAAAAGTTTTCGCAAAACTCTCAGAGAAATTGCAATCCTTAAACTTTTGATTGCATACTTTCAGCGGCGGACCAGCAGTAAAAAATATCTAGATATTGATTGCATGATTTAACCTCTTGAACGTGCAGCTTGCTTGTTATTTATGTCAGCATTAGAGTGTTTTCGAAGCAAATCAAGATATTTATGGTTCATTTATATACTTAGCGTTGTGTGTTGTGGGATTTGTGCATTAAGAGCAGTGATAAATGTTATTATTATTATTTTAAAATCTCCACTTAGTTTTCCTGATTCAATTTGCCAACAACTACTCGCCATCTGATGAAAGCAAAAATCATCTAAAATCAATACTGAAAATCAACAAATGAAAATATCAAAAGAGTGCGGCGCATAATTAGATTTACTAGCCAAAAACCCTCTTCATAAAGCCCGCGTAAAACCAACTGCAACCAACGAAATAACCGAGTTACAAGCGATACAAAATCAACAACCATTTTTAGAATTAATTTTGTTTGATGTGCGCGCTCATAAAAATTTACATAGAAGCGGCATAAAATAAATACGAAATACACCAGGCCAGAAGAGAAAAAAAACGCGAGCGACAAAAGTGAATTGGTTAACCATGGAAAAGGCGTAACTGGCAACTGCTGACCCGGGCCTATAACTTTAGGTTAGTATGTCGTCGCTGTCTTACTGACTTCGGATTTGGCCCCATGGAATGGGGCGACCCATTGCCTTTGAGCTTCCTTTTCCTTTAACGTTTTCTCATTTTATTTCGAGCCTCTTTTTTCTACCCAGCACTAGTACTCTTTGAAATTTTTGGGGTATATTCCAGACTCGTTATTTAACATTTTTTTTAATATTATTGTTTTTATAAATATAATTTCTGGTAATTTTTTACATATAGCTCAAGAAACCATTTTTTTGCATTAACTCTTTAAAATTTAAAAACTGACAGGAGATCAAATATTTTGCATGTTTGTTTTGATTATATGGGGATTACCTATTTATTATTTTCATGTAGTATATTTTTATAAAGTGGTATTTTAAAAAGGTTTTTTAAAAATGGAGAAATATTTTGAAAAAACAATTTTGCGGAAGCGTTGAAAAAATTTGGGTGTTTAAAGACCTTTACTGAAAAAATCAAACTTAAGGCCAATACATATAACGTATCTTGTTACATACTCGACATAAATGCTGGGTATTTTAAATTTTATACATAGTATCTCTCTTTTTTTTGCTGCGATGCGTTGTTCGCTCGTTTTGTTTATCCTTTGGCCCCGATCAAATAGGCATCATTTGCCTGAAGGCATCTCGCAAAAGGAAGGAAAAAGGTCCGCGACCGCATCCACCGCTCCGCCGTCGCATCCGCATCCGCATCCTCCTTTTCGTCCACATCCGCGTCCATGTCCTCCGCAGTGACAGCAATTTGAGCGACAGACAGTTGATGACTGTGTTGACAGGAGCGGGGAATCTCCGATATGAAACCGGGAGGTCGGGCCATCGCTTCTCTATATATCCCAGTGTCCTGGGCGATATTAACCCTATTTTTGTCGTAAATTAATTACGAGCAGCATATGGAGGGACGTGGCCGAGCAAAAGGATGAAGACGACGAGGAGTCGGCTACGGAAATAGGCACGCACAATTTTTATGAAATTTAATATTGAGCGGTCAAAGCGAAAAGGAAAAGATAGAAGGTCTTTATGGCTTGTGGATGAAGATATAATCTTAATAGTTTGGGGCTATGCTATACTGGGTGTCCTTTATTTCTCATTTAATATGCAGTGTTAAAGTGTTCAAAGCCAAGTATATTCTCATTTTACGGACATCTTAATAATATTACTTAGAAAGTTTTATTAAAACTAAACAAAATTAAAAACAATAGTAATAATCAAAAATAATAATACTATACGAGATTGCCATAACTTAAATATTTGCCAGTTACAACATATTTTAATGCGAGTAATATTTCAATGGCAACCCAAAAGGTTGGCCATTTATTTTATTTTGTTTGTTTTCAATTTGTTGCCCACTTCAGTAGTTGGTTCCTTACGCAGCCCACACTCCCATAATTCCAGGCCATATATCATCGGCTCCTGCGACTTCCGGTTGTCGCTTTTGGCATTCGCCATTCCCACTGTCTATTTATAGGCGCCGCTCACGCAGACACTGCCACATGAACCGCGCCACGCCCACTACCAATCCTTCAGCGCCTCCCACAATGCAAAGAAAATTGAAAAGTAAATTATGTGTATTTTTTTGTATTTTCTTTCCACTCGGACTTATGTTGGCTTTGTTTGTCAGCACATGTGCGGCAATAGGCCAGGACTATTTCCCACTGCGCCCCACGTGCAATTCCTCAACGCAACCACACACCTATCAACCATAGCCCACACTTTTCTTACACAGGAGTTACAGGAGCGGTCAAAATTATAGATATTTTGAGTAAAAATAGTGCCTAATTCGACTTAAATGGATGAATACATTTTATTTAAAATGTTTAAAACATTTCAACCCATCACAGCTCTTAATATGAAATAGTTTTACTGTTTAACATTTGTATACCAAAATATACATTCCGATGTTTTTGTTCCATATTAAAATTTTGATATAAAATCATAACTTTCAAACAACAGAAGTCCTTTTTAGAGAATACTTTTATCATCGAAGCTTCTGAGGATGGGAATTGGGGTCATTCCAATCTGAAAACTATTTCAAATCCAGTTTTTAGTTATACGTATTATTTTCTTAATAGGTAGCTATTATTTTAACCGCAGTTGTAGCTGGTATTGTGGGGAATTTATTGAATTTTTATTGGATTTTTGTGCTGGGCTGTGCTGGCTGCTGTGTACTCGTTAGGCGTGGCATAATTCATTATGTTGACTCACCAACACCAACGCCCACATCCACATCCATATCCTTGCCGGAGTCCTGGCCACAGAGCCACCCCCTTTCGTCACAAACCTCCACTAATGACGTGCCGCGTGCTTTGCATATTAATGCACAAAACGGGCCTGCATTCCGTTGGCAGCTCAATTTGCGATTTAAAGAGCCTGCCACTGGCCTCACAGGATTTAATATTGTTGTCCCCGTGAATTGGGGAGTGGTCCTTTTCAAGGACACGCTCTGTGATTAGCACAGAAGCGAGACGGCTTTCGAGGGGGAATTATTACGCTGCAAAGATCAAAACCGGATTGCCAGGGCAGCGAACTGCCAAGCTCACCTTTTCATATCAAAGCAAAGAAATTTTTGGGCAGTCAAATGTGTGCAGGGATATGCGTGGATTGTGTATATGTATATGTACAGGAATGAACCACCCTGCAAAGTTGTCCTTGGCGTTGTATTTTTAGGAGGAAGTTCTCAGAAAATACACGATTTTAATTCAGTTCAGAAATTGTCTACACATAAAAAAACACAAAAAAATATTTTAGGGGTCTCTACTACTTAAGATATTAAATACACTAAATAATTATTTTTTTAATAATTTTTCTGTCCACTTAAATAATTTATACCACTAATTTCTTGAAAATTTTCTACGTTGAAACATTTTATAAAATACATTTTTCATTTTGCACTCTATTTCTGTGTGTAATAAAGCCAAACAAGCATATAAAAGCTTAAAATTAATATCCATTTGTTTGCAATTCATTTAATCCGAATTTTGTCTCAGTAAACTTAATAGAAGCCTGCTATTAAATTGTATTTATAATTTATTTTATAATTTATTTAATTTATTATTGATTTTGGGTTTAATATCTTAAATGACTAATGTTGTGTGATTGGACAAATGGAAAATAATCAGGCACTGCTTAGATTTCCATGATTTGTTATTATATAAACCCGATTTACTTAAACTATATTATTTATATTTTTAAAATTTTATTTTAATTTTTTTAAATGAATTCGGGAATATTTTCCAAACATTCAGTTACATTTAATCCTTATCCCGAATTGAAATCGCAGTGAACTGCTCTAATTGCTGGGCAGCGATCTTCCAGCTCGTTGCCTAACCAAACCGAAGCTATCTGCAACTTCCCGTTTGCACATGCACGGGTATTTACATATCTGCTCTCCATATTCATTTTCATTCCCATTTCCATTTCGCCCGGCAAACTTTTGCCTTTGGCCAGAACTTTGGCCAAGCGAAAAGTTTGGCCAAACACTGGGACCATGTCGCCTGGACAAAAGTTTCGGGGGATGAAATGGTAGCTCGTAGCAAGTTGCCTCGCATTTCTAAGCAAACGTTTAATATTCACGCTTGAGCGCATTTTCAGCGGCAGAAAAGCGAAGGGTGGCATTTTGGTATTGGTATGAAAATGTGTGAACTGTTTGACGCTTATCTGTATGCCTTGCCTTGGCGTTTTGACCAAATTTTATTGCCTGTTTCCAGGCCAAACGCTTCGTTTCTGCTCAAGTGAACCCGGTCGTAATGTTCCGGTTCCGAGGCTCGGCTGTTCCGCCATTCCTCAATTCCGGATTGCTGTTATGCAATTAGCCACCGCCCAAGAAGCCAGGAAGGATGCGATGATGTTCATTACCGTCTTGTGGCCCCGTATTAATCATACGCCATGTTGTGCGCACAAGCTGCGCTAATGAAGGCCTGTTCATCCTCTCTGATGCTGTCCGATGTCAAGTGTTTAAGTCACTTTAAATGCAATTTCGAATTACTTGTAAAACGCCGCTTGTTTACATACCCAATGACACTGGCTACCGAGATCTGAAGTGAAAACACGGACTCAAACTCGGACGTGGCCTGCAATTCCGATTCCTCTTTAGTGGCCGTGCTGCGTTCCTGATTTTCCGTCTGCTCTGCATCATTCAACTTTCATGCGAACATTTGTTTTCCTCATTCTGCTTTCCTCTAGTTTTTTTTTCACTTTTTTTTGTAGGTTTGTGTCTGAAAAACAGAAGGAGGCACTAGTCCAAAGGCCAGTCGCCGTCTCAGTTTCCATTTCACAGTGGTTCAATTTTAGACATTTATTTCGGTATTTCCAAAAAATTTTTAATTTAAAAACACAAAAAAATCAAGACCGGATCATATTGATATGCGCATGGTAAATTTCTATCGTTTTTACCATGCAATACCGGTAAAATTGATATTAAATACTGTAATTTTGCCGATTTCTCTCTCTCGGAAATTCTCTGACCGTACAATACCGGTAAAATTGATATTAAATAATGTATTTTTGCGGATTTCTCTCATTCGGAAGTTCTCAGACCATTTTTAACATGCAATACCGGTAAAATTGATATTAAATAAGGTAATTTTTTGCGATTTCTCTTTCTCGGAAATTGTTCGACTTCAAGTCCAGCTATATTTTATACCATTTCTTGACCCACCTTAAGTGTAGATATATAAAATATGTAAAGATTTCTTTGAGCACCGCTGACAGTTAAGAACAAAGTTTCCTCTGTGTGAATAAGGTAAAGCTTTACCATTCTATGGCACCTCCCCCATCGATATTAGACGCCTTGTTTACAGACACATTTTTTATTGACGCCAAGAAGTTGTCCTCGGCTAGTCGGAGTCCAAGTACAAGCACAAGTACAAGACCAAGGCGGAGTCCAAGTCCAAGTCAGTGTGCCGGAGACCAGAACAGTGCCCATCTAGGGCCCGACGAACCATCAACGGAAGTGCTCGTCGCCATTTTTAGTGCACTTCTTGAAAG